ATAACCCGGCCGCCCAGGCCAAAATAAAAACACTTTTGAAGGCAGACAAGTTGCTTGGTGCCAAGTGGCCAGTCTGGTGCTTGCAAGGGGATACTTGGTGGTTTTTTTTTGTCCTCTCCCATCCCTCCTTCTTATTTCTGAATATCTCTGGAGACTCCAGGTGCCAGGGGATGAAGCAAAGTCCCCCCAGTCTCATATTTTAACCCCTTCAGCATCTGACCAGCCTGTGCCACGCAGGGCTGAAGACGTTTGGGCAATGGCTCTACTTGATGAAGGGTTTGGACATCCCTATCTCACCTCATTTTTTCCCTCTACTTCCATCAGTTGGCCTCATAAAGTGATTAATGCTCCCGATCATATTTATCTTCACTCCTAAACCCTCATGGCTACACTACTGTGACCATATAAGCTTGATAGGGCATGGTTATGTTGTGTGATTGTGGGTCTATGTCTTAAACCTGGGCCCGGGTTTGTCACGGGCGCTTCTCAGCATGGGATGTGCTATCTGATGAGCAGCCTGCACTAACGCAGTTGTTCTTACGGGAGGTAAATGGCTTGGGCAGCCTTGTCCCACAAGTACAGGTGGGCCCCGCTTGCTGGACAGGGCTTGTTGCAAGCATCCAACTGGCAGTCTTGGAAAAAAACGTTAACAGTATGAAAAATCCCTTATCAGTTTTCTGCTGCAGCAGTGGTTTAAGTGCTTAAACAATGCCTTGCATTCTTACAAGGGAGAACTTCGCTAGGAAGCTAGCTCTGAAACGCAGCACTGTTGGCAAGGGGATGCAGCGTACTGACAGCGTTTCATAGCCCCAGCATCCGGCGATGGGGAAGTATGCAACCTAGGCTGAGGAGGGTTGACCCCCTGACAACAGGGATGTCCATCTGTCCGCTGGTGTGGAGAGCGAGTCCCAGCACGCAGGTGCCCATGGAGGCATCGTGGCAGGCAGGTGCTTGGGGCTGAGGATGTTGAAGCTGCCCCTGAGAGCTGGGGCTGCAAAGGAGCTGCACCAACGGGGGCGAAAGCCGGCAGCACCGGGTTTACTCGGTCATGGGATGCAGGGTGGGCACGGCGATGTGCACTGTGCATGATGCCAGCCCCATGCCACATCCTGGGGGCTGCCTGGGCAAGCTGCAGCTGGAGCTGTGCATGCTTTGCTTTCCACCTCTGCCGTGATTCCTCCCCTCCATCACTTTTAAGGCTTTTGGGGCTGGTCCACAGGTGCCGACAAAAGGTGGTGGCATCCTGCTGTGGCTCTGCGGCAGGGTCGGGACCCCCTCTCCCTGGTCCCCAGCACTCACCCCAGGGACGGCGGCACGGCCCGCGGAGGGATGCTGAGCGCAGCCCCGAGTGAAAAAAGCAGGGCAGGTCAAGAGGAAGCCGCGGCCACGAAGTTGCTGTCATGCAGTGCTGGCAGGGAGGGGAGAAGGGGCTGCAGGGGGAGAGCGTCCGACTTCTCTGTAAACAACAGCTCCTGTTTCCTCCTTTTCCAACAGCTGATAAGAATTTAGCTCTTTGCAGCCGCTTGTGCTGACGGGGCACATTCTTGCGCGCCCGCCGCTCCTCCGAATAATACTAGGAAAAAGCAGGGGGGAAAGTGCGGTGCCGGGGTGGGGGAGGGCCAGGCCGGGGGCACTGGGACGGGGCCCGGTGCTGCACAAAGGCCCCCTTGTTGCTCCCGACATTCCTGCGACAGGGGCGTGGGGACTGTTTACACCCAAAGTCCCCTTCCACTCGGCTTGCCGCCTGATTGACCAGAGGAGAGGGGACCCGGCCAGGGTGGCACCGGCACCGCACACCCTTCCCTGCGGCACCCGTCCGGGCCTCTGGCGCAGAGGCATAGCTGAGCTGCAGGTATGCAGCCTCCGAGTTCTCCCGGGAGTGGGTTTGGCATTGCACTGCCACCGGGATGCCCAGCTCTCCCTGTCAGGATAGCCTGCTGCCGGACGGGAATAACCCTGGGCAGCCGGAAGTGCTGGCTGGGCTCTGCATCACCGGGCTCTGCATTGCCGGGCTCTGCATTGCCGGGCTTTGCATCGCCTGGGCTCTGCATCTCCTGGGCTCTGCATCTCCTGGGCTCTGCATCGCCTGGGCTCTGCATCGCCTGGGCTTTGCATCTCTGGGTTCTGCATTGCCTGGGCTTTGCATTGTGGGGCTTGGCCCTCAGCAGAGCTGTGGAGCACACATTTGAGAAAAAAGAGAGCGTAGCTGTTCATCGAAGGCTGAGAGGAAGCGCGTTTCCTTGGGAGGAGTCGGTCATCGCTGCAATGGGAAGTGGCTCGCGTGCCCCGGCGCTGCTGCAGCCTGCTGCCCGCAACGGCTCTCCCCTGCGGGCAAGGGACGGAACGGCAAAACCCTCCCCGGGTTGGGTGGTGGTAAAGCGAGATGCCACCCATGAGCAAAAGCCAGCGAATTCAACCTTCAGCCTGTGCATAAATCGTGTTATGGAAGAAACGCTTTTCCCAAGTCAGGTCAGCTGTTAACCAGCAACGTCCTGGCATCTCTTCCCTGGGTTCTGGTCTCCAGGTACTTTCTGGGACTAAATCCCTGTTTGTTATGTTTGCCTAATTTTTTTCCTAAACCAACTCTCACAGGGAGGGTGGTATTGGCATTTGGCGAGATCCATACGGACAATGATGTAACGGGGACCGTGCCCTATCGGGCCGTGGCGGCGGCGCTGGTGAGGGGAAGAGCAGGCAGCAGGTCTGTGCAGGAGAGGAAGGGCAGTGCTGCGGGGCTGGGGGCCACGTGCGTGCCTGCCGGTGGGGCCAGGTCAGCGAGTGGGGAGGAAGGGGCTGTGATGCCGCCATGGTCCCTGCCCGCAGCTCAGCCAGGTGGTGCCACACCATTTGGGCATTTGCAACCACATGCTGCCGTGGTCTGCCCACGCGCTCCCATGCCAGAAAGTGCCCTTGGTGGCAAGGCGGTGAACATGGCCCTACTTTGCTTGTTGGGTTTTTTTTTTCCCCCCTCTTTCTTTCCAAACACATAGCTGCAAGCGGGCAACTTCTGTTTTCAAGAGGAGACATGTAACCTTTCAAAACCTCAACTTCTCCTCAAACCGTGCATGTCGTCACTTGTGCAACCTTCTGTT